ACCGGATATCTATTACGACTCATCATTTCACTGATCTCAACACCTATCCTGATCTATCAAAATTCTTTAACGATATCATTACCTCCATCCATCAAACAAAATATTTTCAGGTCGAATTTACTGCTTATAAACTTCAATCTTCCATGAACGCTTCTTTGTGGCCGATCGGTAATGCACGTCAGCGTAAATGACGGTTCCGTATAGGATGCAGGTTCGAATCCTGTCAAAGAACGAATATTTTCTATGAAAATTTCTGGGACACTCAGGCCGGTAAATGTTATTTAATACTGTTTATTATAAACAGAGCATTTACTTAAATACTTGTATCTATAAAAAAGAACGTTAAACATAAAAATGTCTTTTTAATATATATATATATATATGCATTTCATGTAGAACCATTTGTACAGATTTAAATAGCTGAGTTTTCAATTCAGTCATCCTTTTCCTTGATTGGTTGCCTACGACGGCGATTGGGATTAATCTAAGCTGCTATTTAACAATAGCTGTAAGAGAGAAGAGACGATTTTGCGACTTTCACAACAGTATATTCAACGAACTCGACCGGAATTCGTACACGGTTCGTAGATTTCTCGTTCCGAACCGCGAGCCATAATAGCTTTAAACACATAAGAAAAATAGTTACCATTATTTTCAAATAAAAGGCTCGTTATTCCACAATCAAAACATCTGTATAAAGAGATGTGATGCAAATAAACAGGTGACTTTGACGTAAAAGGTTTCTTTTCACGATTAGAATGTCTGAGGATTTCTCGTCTTGTTCTGATATCGTCCAGCTCAGTTACTGCTAGCTCAGTTTCCACCGAGTCTAAATCTGAACTGCCTGGTCCAGGGACTGAACTCACTTTTAATATGTCACCAAAATTCCTGTAATACACTCGATAATTGACACTGAGAGTGGAATGAGAACAATCTATCCCCGTAAATTAAATCCAGTTCGAAATTCGCTGAAGGTTATTTCTGATCGATAGACACCTTGAAAGAACTGGAAAGCGCAATGACTGAAATGTCATAATAACAATAAAAATGAGGATAACAGTCGGGTTGTAAATAATGAAAATTAACACATTTTTTTATTATCTGTGACCATTTGTTGCATGTTTTAATAGTGTAGAGATTAAAAACGTCCTTACTGTGGCTTTATTTTATTGATTGATTGATTCGTTAAAGCCAGAAAATATTTTTAGATTGTAGGATTGTTGTTTTGGGGGAGGTAATAATGATTCAGTCATACAATTCTTACTAATTAACCCATAACTACGGGAGAAGAGTCATACCTTTCGTAAGGGTATTTACGCATCAGCAAATTTAACGAACCCGGAATTCGAAATCGGCTCTTCGATTGATTAAGAACAGAATGATATAGATAGATAGATAGATAGATAGATAGAAAGTATAATATAGTATGGTATAGTATAGTATGGTGTAATATAGTATAGTATAGTATGATATAGTATAGTATGGTATAGTATAGTATGATATAGTATAGTATAGTATGGTATAGTATAGTATGATATAGTATAGTATAGTATGGTATAGTATGGTATAGTATAGTATGTATAGTATAGTATAGTATAGTATAGTATAGTATAGTATGATATAGTATAGTATAGTTTAGTATAGTAGAGTATGATATGGTATAGTATAGTATAGTATAGTATAATAAAATTCCCAGAATACTTCTGTGGATAATACAAATTGTTAGAAGAATGACAATAGGAAAAAAATCTTAGTTTTTGCTGACGCGTTTCGTCTTCCGACTTTACCAAAGCAAAACTGAAGCGAATTTTTTTGTTTTGTTTTCATAGTTACACTAAATCCAACATTTTAAAAGAGAGAGAGGCTTCTGAGAATTGTTCTGGGACTTTTACTATATAGTGGACATTGGAAAAAAAGAAATCTCTTAGTATAAAGGAACTTAACACTAGTCAGAAGGAGGCTGAAGCAAAAGCGTCTCTTTAAAGTTTGAATTTAATGTAACTATGAAAAAAAAAACATGTCGCTTCAATTTTGCCTTGATAAAGTCGGGAGACGAAACGCGCCGGCAAAAAGTAAGACGTGTTTCCTATTGTCATTCTTTTAACAATAGATAGATAAATAAAGAAGAGAAATATACAGAAAGGAAGGGAATTGGAACTCGGCTCTCCGACCACCGATTCTTAGCCATTATCTATCACACCAGCCGCACTTTCAAGCAAATAGTATTTGGTCTTCCCAAGCGACGTTCCATCCAGGCTCAACGTTGCTTAACACCGAGTTTCGTACGATAAACAGCAAAATAAATAAATAGATAAAAGTGGAATAAAAAAGTGATGAAAGAAAAGCTATTTAAAATATTAATAAATGAACAGTATATCAAATAAATAGACTCTTCTGGTACAAAGTTGAACATTATTAACTCTTATAATGATTTTCAAGCCAAATGACTTTGAACGCATCTTTTCTCGTCGGATCCAATGACATCACAATATTACTTAGCAGTAGGAGTCCTCAGTAAGTGCTTCATTTCACGACTTGTGGCCATTTATTTATACCCCTTACCCTATCATCACCAATTGTCTTTATATTCATCCCCACCCCACGATTTTTATTATTTAAGCGGGTCTGAGCTTAGAGAGTTCTTTTTTTTTTCTTTTGCTCTTGCTATCGTTGTTAGTTCTACAAAGAAGATTGTAAAGATGGGGGTAACAGCAACAACGGAGATATTTACGGTTGATCCTCCAGTATTTTGTTTTTTTTTTTTTCTTTTTTTTTTTTTTTTTGACTCCCACTCTAGAGACAATATGAAACAAGAGAGAAAGTGAGAGAGAGAGAGAGAGAGAGAGAGAGAGAGAGAGAGAGAGAGAGAGAGAATACAGTGCTAGACAGAAGACGAAGCAGCTGCTGTTTCGTTACAAAGTAAATAAATAAGTAAATGAAATTGTGTTCTATTGAGCACCTACTTAAGTTACGATTAAACTTGGCTCACCTCTTGGGGAATCGGTAGGAGATGTTGCTGGATTTTTCTTAATGACCTTCCTTCATTTTGTTTTTCTACTTTCTTTTTTAAGGAGGAGGTGAAACGTTCTGTCTAATCATTGTCTTGTCGGGGTTCATCTTTCAATTTTATGTTTGTTTGTTCATCAGACCCCACCCGCTGATGTGAAGGTTTGTTTTATAATTGCACTTTCCAGATATAAAGACATGAACATAAAATACGCACATATAAATAGATTTATATATATATATATATATATATATATATATATATATATATATATATATATAGATAGATATAGATAGATAGATAGATAGATATATATAATATATAGATATATATATATATATATATATATATATAATGTAAAATATATATATATATATATATATATATATATATATATATATATATATATATATATATATATATATATATAATGTAAATCTATTTAGACTCGGTGGGTGAAAAAACTGGATAGCACAATTTTCAAGCAAATTGGCATCCGTGGAAAAAAATATCGAAAAAAAAAAAAAACAAAACAAGAAAGAACAAGAAATCTCCGAACAGAGCGAAAGAAATCGCCCAGTACCTTAATTTCTGGCACAAAAAAAAAAAAGAAAGAAAAGAACAGCGCGTAATAATTTAAAAGGAAGAGTGCTCAATACGGTAAGTAGAGCAAAAGTAAAATAAATAAATCCTAATGAACCAGGTACCTACCTAGGTTTCACCT